ACATGTTTCAAACTATTTTTCTTTAGCCGTGCTACTTAAAGAAGGAGAGCCTGGCTGGATATAAGATCCTTGGTTCATACTTTAATTACTGATTTAAGGACCATTTTTCCATCCTCAGAGGCTTGATTGAGAACATTTAATTCACGTAGCACTGGTGTGTTGTGGTTTTCTTCGCTTTATGGTTTATTTTGGTGAGGGCATTTTCTTAAGATGATACATTTTTTATTCTTTTTTTTTTTTTTTTTTATTACAATAGTCACACGTGTATCATTTTTTATTCTTTTAAATAAAATAGTGGAGACCAACTCCCCCCCACGCCCTCTAAGGCACATAGTGCCAGTGACAGAGCCAGGGACTGCAGAAGGCTAAGGGGCAGGTTATTTTAGAGTCATTTTGTTGCAGATTTAGGCTGTGTTTATTTCATTGGATTTAGAGTGTTTACAAGACTCCCAGTTTAAGAGGATTCTTTTCTGTCAGTGTAACCAAGTATACTTTCTCTTTACCTTTTTGTTTTATTATTATTATTTGGGGGTGGGGACGGGAGAGGTTGTGTGTCCTCCAGTATTTGTTTTTTCTTTTTTTCTTGCAGGACCTGAAATTTACCCCCTTTGTGCTTCCTCCTTCTTTTACCACCCAATTTCCAAAGGGTGTTTTCCCTTCCTTGGTCTCCTTTTCTGCCCGAAGCAATGCCTTTCAAAGACTTCTCAGTCCCATCCTCACTGCCAGTGCTGTGATTAACCCAGACTCCTTAGGTTACTTTGTACTTCAGGTTGATGTTCTTTCCAGCAATGGCTTCAGATCAATCTGAAACTCCATCATCTCTCCCCTCTTCTCTTTTCCACCCTGTTTGCCCAGGGCTTGTGGCCAAAGCATGACATCCAGCTCTGTTGGGATTTGGTATTAACTAACTGTTGTTTACTTACAGGTGATCTGAAGGTTGTATAATTCTCTATATTCTAGTTATAGTGATGTGTGGGTTTTGTGTAGTTTTACTTATTCTTCTTGCTGATCTGTAGTGTTTTGTGGGTAGTTCATTGCGTTAATCTAGGCCACTTCTTTCTAGACGGTAATTGGGCACAACTACAAAATAAGTGTTTTCTGCAGGACTGTCGTCATCCTAGAGATATAGAAGGATCTGAGGGAGAGAAAGCTGGTGCATTCTTGGCATGTGTGAAAACCACTCAAAGACTAATTTATCAAGGGCGTAGATTTATCTAGGACATGAATAAACTTTCAGGTCAAAAAAAAAAAACAAAAAACAGATCCAAGCATTTAATTTGAAGAGTTTAATAGCATTCAAGTTTGTTTTTATTCTGAGCGTCAGGGGATGTAAAATAAAAGTATCCTATTAAGCATTGCCTATTATTATTAAAATGCTTTAAAATTAGGCATTCACCCAGAATCTTATAAGTAGTAACAATTTTATCACACTGTTCCTACACCTGACAGATGAAGGACCCAGACTCGGGGAGACTCACTCACATGCTCTCCTGGTTACAGAGTTGATTTCAGTGGAGCCAGGAGTGAAACATAAGTCCCCTGATTGAGGGGACAGTGCCATCTCCACCACCAGCCGTGTTGAGTCATACAAGTTGTCACGCATTGGATCTTCTTTCCAATTGTTTGTCGTTCGATCACTTTCATAACCTAAGGCCACTCCTTAATGCCAAATTGCTAGGGGGAAATGCTTTTTGGCGTTATATTTTTCATTGATTTGCTCGTTAAAAACAATGTAAGCTGCTCGTCCAGAGAAGTAGGCAACATTTTCTCCACTAATGATTCACCCTCGTCTCTCTTTTCACAGAGGACAGTTATGGGATGGATGGGAAGGTTAATGTGCCCAGTCTCACTGCAGACATCAACCGGCAAGGCCTGGAGGAGCTCTACAGTGTGAACGAAAGCATCTATGAGTACAGACAGAACTACAGACTTAGTCTGGTTGACTGGACTAATTACTTGAAGGATGTAGATAGAGTATTTGCACTGCTGAACAGTCACGATGAGCAAAATAAAACGAGTAAGACTAAGCCTGCTCAAAGTGATGGGTTCTTGCTTATCTCTGCTGAGCTCCCCGGGCCAGCGGAGATGGCTTCTGCTGAGTCAGATGAAGACCCGCGTCGTGTGGTTGGAGCAGCACCTCATTTGACCTTGCCGGCCGACCTTCGAACCCTGCCTCTGAACCGACGACCAACACTAAGTCCAGAGAGTAAACTTGAATGGAATAATGACATTCCGGAAGTGAATCGTTTGAATTCTGAACACTGGAGAAATGGTGGAACTGAAAAATGGCTGGGGCACGGAGAGAGCAATCGCGTTGACACCGATCTCAGTGGCAACGGCATGACGGAGCTGGTGCTCGAGCCCAGCCCCAGGCTGCAGGCCATGCGCAGGCGTCAGAAAGAACTCCCCCGGGATGGCGGATTAGGAGATGTTCTTGAAGACCAGCTGTACCTTCCCGTGCGTGCTGATAGAACCTCTGTTCATCAGATGCTCAGCATGTCCACGGCGGGGCAGGCTGTGGATCCCGGCGCGGTGGAGAGGGTGCGGCCCCAAGTGGAGGGTCACAAGGAGAGCCTGCAGCATCTAGAAGGCAGTGCCTCCTCCCCGCTCTCCTCTGATTAGATCACATTGTTCCCTTACCCCAAACACAGTATTTCTTTTTAACTTTTTTTTATTTGTAAACTAATCAAGGCAATCATAGCCACCAACATCCCAAGCTACCCTGGGTACCTTTGTGCAGTAGACGTTAGCGTGCAGGTCAGCAAGCAGCGTGCTCACTGACCCTCATTGTTGTTATAATTCATTTGCCAAGAGTGGGAAGAAAGGCTGGGGATTTTTTGGTTGCTTTTTTTTTTTTTTTTCTTTTTACTAAAACAGTATTATCTTTTGAGCATTGTAAGGACGAGTATATAAATGTTATCCAATCAAGATGGATAGAATTGTGCCTTCCTAAGTTTCTAAAACGTGACTCACTCCAGTGAATCTTTCAGCCCGCTTCCACGGCCTGCATAAGGAAGTTTTGATTCATTTTTAACCACTGGAATTTTTCAGTGCCATCAGTCTTAGTTCAGTGATTTTGCACTTTGAGATTAGAATGCCAGTCTAATTGGTTAGTCTTAGTTTTTATTTTTACAAGCTTAACAGTCCCACTGCTGCTGTCAGTGTAACAAAGTAAAATAGACACCCCCCACCCACCCAAGGATGACACACAGTATGGATCACATATTGTTTAACATATGCTTTTGCCATGGAATATTGCATGTGTTTTACCTCGACTTGCTAAAACTGATTAGCAGAAAGACATGGCCAATGATGTTGGTGGTAAAAATAAATAAATAAGCAAAACAAAGATTGCCTGCTTTCTCTGTGCCTAGCCTCAAGGTGTTCATCAGATGTTTTAGGATTGCTAAATTGTAGTTATTTTCTTGACAGGAGAAAAAGAACTGAAGACCTTTAAGTTTCATCTTTATTTTGTTTTCTTGGCCTGGGTCATAACCTTAAATGTTGACAAAAATATATTTAGTTTTGAATTTACACAAGGAATTTTTTTCAATACAATAAAATCATGAATGTTCCATAATTTAAATATGCCATAAGGGAGATTAATTTCTTAACATTGTGTTATATGATTATTTTTAAGGCCTTCATCAATTTCTGGGGTTTTTTTTAAAGACATAGTTCAAAATTACTTTTGAAAATGTATTCTTGAAAATATCGTTGTTTTGTATTAGGTTTCCAAATACCATCTAAAGGATTACCTCACTGAGAGTCATCAGGACCTATTCAGCTTCCCAAGAAGGTTTTTTTGGTTTAGCTTAACAGTGGTTTTCTTTTTATTTTTAGATAATTCAATTGCTTAGATAAATTGTTTTCTTCAAGTGTTTAAGGCAAACTCTTTTAAAGAAAATTTAATATGTTAGAGTTGAATCTTTGGTAACTTTAAGTCTTTATCATAGACTCTGTACATATGTTAAAATTAACTAGCTGCTTCTCAGATATGTGTGTCATCGGTTGGGTGACAGAATAAACATATTTATGGTCATGAATGATGTGCTTTGTAAAAAGATTTCAAGTTATTAGGAAGCATACCGTGTTTTTTTAATCTTGTATAATATCCTGTGATACTTTTATAGAACAACTCTGGCTTCAGGAAAGTCTAGAAGCAATATTCTTGAAATAAAAGGTGTTTAAACTTTACTTGTTTCAGAGAAATGAACTTGGGGTACAACCATGCTTTGCAAGTAAAATCCTGGCCTCAACTTACATAACTGAATACTAGCCATTCTTATAAAATTGACCCAAAGTCAGTGCACTGTAGAACACTCTCAGATTCGTAATTTCAACGTGGATTTACCATATCGCTGTTGGGAAGTGGGAGAGGTGGCACTAAGGTGGCTTCCTGGGCGTGGAACTTGGGCAGTCACAAAGGGCCTTCACTGGCTTAATGTTCTGTTGTCACCACCTTGAAATCCTTAATAATTTTTGAACAAGAGGCCCCACATTTCCATTTTCCACTGGGCTCTGCAAATTATGTAGCTGGTCCCGGGCAATGCAAATGGGTCTTTCCAAAAGCAAGGGGCAGACCCGCCAAAGGCAGATTGGGTTCTTACGGGACCGTGAACTTTGGTAGAAACCTAACCACCCTCCAAGACCTCAAGTTTTCTGATGGACAAACTCCACATGCTTCCTTCTGTTTGTTTTAGATCTCCTGAGGAGATTTAGCCTCCAGGTAGAGGGGTTAAGAATCTATGAAATGTCCAGAGATCAGAAGGCTGAAAATAAGAAAACAGAAAGGCAAAGGAGCAGGGAACCTGCCAGTTCCATGCTTGGATAATTGAGGAAACCCAAGTTTCATTAAGAGAATGGAGTCCGAGATAACAGTGCTGTCCAAAGTCATGTCTTGGTGCCCTGCTCCTTGTTCTTTCTGTAAAATGTGCCAAATGTTGCCATCCTGGAGGAAATTCAATTTTAGTTCAATTCCATAACTGAGTAGTGACCTACCGATTATGTAGAGAGGGCACAAGAGAGACTGTGTACCTTGCGAGGGCTGTATTTCACAGACTGCATTTCAAATCTTTTTCTTTTTCTTTTTCTTTTTTTCTATTTTCTTTCTTTTTGTTGCCATGGCTAGAGTGCCGTAGCGACAGCCTAGTCCACAGCAACCTCAAACTCCTGGGCTCAAGCGATCCTCCTGCCTCAGCCTCCCAAGTAGCTGCATGCGCCACCATGCCCAGCTAATTTTTTCTATATATATATATATTAGTTGGCCAATTAATTTCTTTCTATTTATAGTAGAGACAGAGTCTCGCTCTTGCTCAGGATGGTTTCAAACTCCTGACCTCGAGCAATCCGCCCGCATCGGCCTCCCAGAGTGCTAGGATTCGCATTTCAAATCTGGAAGGGCCCTTGGCGCTGGCCAACTGGCCTTGCTTGACCTGGGAGGAAGCTGACGCCCAGAAGGGCTGAGCTGACCTCTGCACTGCCCATTCCCCATTCTCCACAGATTTGGAAGAGGAAGAGATTTAGCAGAGGCAAGGGCCAGCCCTCTGCACTTTCTCCATTTATACACACGCATGCCCATGCACGCACACGGGCACACACCAGCTCAGGGAAGAGAGAGGCCATTGTGGGACTCCAGCCAGCAAACAGCAGTGGAAAGAACAATGACCATGAAATGGGGGGAGACCCAAGTTGACTTCAAAGTTGAATTTTTACTATTAGTGTGAGCTTGGAAAAGTCACAGAGGTTTGGGTCAAGGATAGCAAACATATATAGCATGTGTGTGCTGTGTGTGCGTGTATGTGTGTTTGTGTGTGTGTGTTTTCCCAGAACGTCCCAAGGGAAGACATTGCTAATCCAGCAGGTCACTTTTCCATTAAGCTAGAGCGTTTGTGGCCTTAGAACCCTTCTCAACGCAGCTGACTACTTCTCCAGCCAGCTATGCTGCTGAGTTGGTGTTTGAGACAAAAACCAACTTGCCATACCAACACTAGATCGTTTCTCAGACCCCTCCTGGCCTTAAAAAAAAAAAAAAAAATCAAGCAAACAAACCTATGATCACCAGCATCAGCAGTGTTTTGGGGTTCAGAGAGAAGGAATGAATACTCAACACCCCTATTCCTTGCCAAACATATCTAAATATTTTGGCTTTTTTTCTAAAAAAAAAAAAAAGAATTTTAAATGTTTATTTTTCAGGGCTTGTTTAAGGTCCTCGATTTCCTAAATGAGTCCGATTCTGCTTGGTATTTCTGGAATTTATTCTAATATGAAACACAGATCTTCAGTTGATAATTGAAACACGTAGGGCAATTAACACCTCAATATGCTCCACCAATCGGCCTGAGGATGTCTCCAGAACTGCTGTCAAGCCGCCATGGTCCCCTAATCCCTTTCCTCCCACCCTGCCTCTCCCACTCCCAACACAGCCACACTCGGCCAGGTGAGTTTTCCTGGCCTTGCTCAGACCTCAGCTCTTCCTCGCAAGTCTTCGGTGCTTTTCAACACCCTCCATGTTACGGCTCTGAGCCACAAGAAGCTCTAGCACTCCTCCCTCACTGGTGTCCTCCACCTCACCGTCCCCAGCTTCCCTGTCAGGGCACCTTCCAGGCCTGAGTTTTCCTCTAACTTCCCATCTACCCTCCTGTTTATAATATCTCCTCTCAACTGGAGAGATCTCATCCACCCTTCAATTTCCATATCAGTTCAAATTTTACCTTTCTCCCCCCCTTGCAAACTTTCCTGGACTCCCCATTCCTGGACATAATAGCTCTCCCAGTTGGAGCTCTCCCCACATAAGAAAACGCTGGTGTTGGACCAAGTCTGCAGCCAATGGAGGCCATGCTCACAGTCTCGTCCCCCCCCCCCACCCCTTTCTGCCAGGAGACTTACCCAAATGTTACGTAGTTCATGTTGGTTGGTCTAGTTAACTCGCCTTTCTCTCAGCGTGCTGCTGACGCGGAGGACTTGGCCGGCCCAGTACCTGACAGCTCTGAAGTCAGTAGAGAGAATGACTCCAATACGGGATGTTCCTGTTGAATTCAGGGGCCTGACCTCTCAAGTCAGGAAAGCACTACAGGAAGCGCACGTGTTTGGGTCTTTTGTGCTGGGCACTGCCTCACTTTTCAATTGGCAAAGTGATC